GCTCTGACACTCAAAACCGAAGCTTTTTGCTGAGGATATCAAACATTTGCACAGCGTAGTATGTCATCATCAAGTGTTCAACCTAAGGCACCCAAGTCTTTTGGGCGGTCAAAAATGGAATGTCTACAGTCACCTATTTGTCTAAATATCACTATAGCGATCTCGGGTTTTTCCCTTTATGCACAGTATTCCGGACTTAGGTTCCGTGGTGTTGATTGTTGTTTATATCTTGTTTCCGTCCTTCAATACTTTGTATTTGAGTTATAGGATGTGTTGGGCAGGTTTGTTACAGGTTGGGTGTGATTGGGAGCAAGTGGTTGAGGCGAGTGATCATGTTTTTTTGAAAATATCACCTAGGCGGGGTTTAATGAGATTTGGTAAGAGTGGGAAGTTGTCCCCTCGGTTTATTGGCTCTTTCGAGATCCTTGAGAGGATTGGTGAGGTTGTCTACCGTTTAGCTTTGCCACCGCAGTTGTCCGGAGTTCATGACGTGTTTCATGTTAGTATGCTTCGGAAGTACGAGCCGGATCCATTGCATGTGTTAGATTGGATCGACTTAGAGGTTGATGAGGATGCCTCGTATGAGGAGAGACCGGTTCAGGTCTTGGATAGGCGGGATCAAGTCTTGCGAGGTAAGACCATTCCTTTGGTAAAAGTTTTGTTGAAACATCACGGAGTGGAGGAAGCCACTTAGGAACATGAGTTGGAAGTTCGAGAGAAATATCCAGATCTATTTGTGAATGTTTGAGCATATGTTGTATTTTCGCTGTATTGTTGAACCTTAAGAGCATTAGATATGTCTTAAGTTGTAAAACATAGTATATGTCTTGAGTTTATGGAAGTATTATGGAACTTGCCAGAAATGGAAGTTTAATATAACATTGTATATGTTGAACGTGTTGTAGAAATGGAAATATATCATGAACATTGAATATGTTATGGAATTATGAATCATGTATATTGGAAACTGTTGGATTTGAAAGAAATGCATGTTGGTAATGCATGTTGTTATATATATTGTGAATTGCCTTTTGAATAGAGATGGGGTGACCGGTAATGGTCCAGTTATTGAATTTTGAATTGTAATGTTGTTGAAATTTGAAGAAAGCATGTTTTTGAAAACTTATATCTAATTTCGGGGATGAAATTCTTTAAGGGGGGAGATTATAGAGATCCCGGGTTTTCCCCTTTATGTACAGTATTCCGAACTTACGTTTCGTGGTGTTGATTGTTTATATCTTGTTTCCGTCCTTCAATACTTTGTATTTGAGTTATAGGATGTGTTGGGCAGGTTTGTTACAGGTTGGGTGTGACTGGGAGCAAGTGGTTGCTGCCCAGAATTTTGGTCCTTCGCTCGAGCGAGCATTTTGTCGCTCTAGCGAGCTCTTTGTTTTTGATCCTTCGCTCGAGCTAGGGTTTCTTCGCTTGAGTGAGAGTTGAGTTCTGTGTCTAGTGGCTTGAGCCAGGGTTCCTTCGCTCGAGCATACGTCTGCGTCTGGGTTTGGACCTGAGAGTTTGAGTTCTTGGCTCGAGCGAGCTTTCCTTCGCTCGAGCGAGCGAGATGTATGATTTGGAGTTCTTTGCTCGAGCGAGCTTTTCTTCTCTCGAGCGTGCTTCTGGTTGCAGACCTAAAGCTTTGCATTGTTGGCTCGAGCGAGGCTTTCTTCGCTCAAGCGAGAGTTTCTTTGTGTCTGGTTGCTCGAGCGACCAATCCTTCGCTCGAGCAAGCCTGTGTTATATCAGTAGGTAGCAGTGGGTAAACACTTCACTTTTTCATCTCTTTTGATTTCAAAACCCTAGATCCGTCCATTCTCTCTCTCTAAACACCTTCTCTCTAGGGATTGATCTAGTTCTTGAGTGTTTCTACCCTAAGTTCTTTGTAAGAAAGATAGAGGGTGGTGTGAGCTTCGTTTTAATCTGAAAATTTGGGGGTTTGGAGCACTTTGGATTTTGGTCATTTTCTCCATTTGAGCTCTTCATTTTGAGGTAGGGATACCCTACTCCATCTTATGAGTTTTGTCTTTAATTTTGGTCATTTTGATTAGTTGGTGATGTTGGGCAATTTTGGAAAAGTTAGGGTTTGTTATGTAATTTATAAAACAGGGGTTTTCCATGTTTGAGTCAAATTTGTGTTATAGACTTGAAATGGGGGTTGTTTATGAATTATGGGTGAAAAATGAGCCTTAGGATTGAATATGGATAACTAGGAAAAAAATGTCCTAATTATGTAATTAATTAATTTGAATAATTAATTTGTGTGAATGTGAAATTGAGTTGAGAATAATGAAATTGGAAAGTTATGGGATTAAATGGTGTAGTTGGATTAATTTAATCACTCACCTATGGAAAATATTGATATTATATATGTTGATGCATTTATTTTCTGTTTAGAAATATCTGTTTTGGGCTATCGGTGGAGGCTAGTCTTGATTTTTGTAGACACTGCATGTTGATTAGGGAAAACCGAAACTAATCACATTGAATATGTCATTGAATATGACGGTTGGAATAATACATCAAATATGTGTATTGAATGATTCCTGTATATGATAATTGTTTATATACTTGGAATGTGTGTATTGTGTGGGTGGAGATAGGGGATGTACTCCATGGTTTAAGGGAAGATAGGGGATGGACTCTCAAACCTATTTGGGAGGAGATAGGGGATGGACTCTATTGATACAGCAAATATATGTATCAAATTGAAGTGTTAATACAGCAAATATGTGTATTAAATGAAAGTGTTAATACAGCGAATATGTGTATTATTTGAAGTATAGAAGTGTTTTAATCGTGAGTTGTAAACTCACTTGAATTGAGAATAAAGGAAATGTTTTAATATGGGATGTAGTCCCACTTAATTGTTCGGCCATGTTCTGAGCCACGTTATGAAATGATTTGTATAAGTAAAGGAAAATGGACTGTAACATGGACATGATTGTCACGGAACTGTATTGTGATATAAATTGGTTCATAAGTGTTAACCATCTATCAAATGCTATTATTTTAGTCATTGCTTATAGTTGGTTTAGTATATCTCTACTGGGCTGTGACTCACCCTATATGGGACATCATTTTCAGGTCCAGGTGACATGCCACCTCCAAGGACTTAGCTTGGGAGGTTCTGGGAGTTGAATACTCTTTTTGGTTGTTTTGTTATCTTCTGATGTATTACATGTAAATTCAAGCCACAGGCTAATTACATATTTGAGTTAGCACTCTCTTCTTGTAATCAAGTGTTGGCTTGGAAAGTTGTAAGCCCGTAGGGCATTTACTTTTGTTGTCAACATGTAATACTTTTGAATTGAATACTCTAATAAATGAAAAGATATTTATTTCTCTTATATCTATACATGTCAAGATTGTTGGGTTTTATGTATTATTTTGAGGGCGTTACACACACACACACACACATATATATGTACATGTTACGTATCTATTCACTTATATGTCTAGCTCATCATCACTAGCCGTCGATTACTGTCCGCTGACCACTAGCAACTTTTCAACCAATTTTTTGGCGACTTTTCGGGGCACCAACAACTTTTTTGGTTTTTTTTAAACTCATATGCTTATCACTAAAAATGATTAAATTTTGAACCAAATAACATATGATACCATAGTAATAAACTTTTCACTAATTAAATTTATTAATTATTATATCCTTATGTCTGTAAAAGATCAAGGGGAATTTTCAATTCAATTGAAATTTAAAGAAATAATTACAGAGTAGTGATAAAAATTATAACTATTTATTATTAAAATTATAATCTTTCATCTTGTTTGGTTTGGAGTTTTCAATTTATATTTTTGTATTTTTAATGATTTTTAAAAATATTTTAATCAATCTTTTTCTTTTTCTTATTCTTTTTTTATAAACTTTTTAGACCCACTTAATAAGTATACTAAAAAAGTTTAAAATTTTTACAAAAATCTTTAAAAATTCATTGAATATAACAAAATATGAAAATGTATTAAATTTTTGTATTTATTTTTTGTGTTTGGTAAATTTTTAATTTTTTTTTACAAATATTATACTTTTTAAGTGTATCTATGTATTTAAAAAAATAAAAAATTTACTTAAAATATTTAAAAAATTCGTTAGAAAAAAAGAAAAAAATTCAATTTTCTAAAAAAAAAAAAATAGAGACCCCAAGAAAACTATTAAACTTTTTACCAAACAATTACATAAGCCGGGGACTCACATGAGAGTGGACCCCATACCCATATAAGTGTTTGATAAAAAAGAGAATTGCTACATCTACCGAATTTGGACTAGCTTGAATTGCCTGAATTTATACATGTCGGTCGTTCGACTGGTCATCCACTAGAATGTCGGTCATTTGGACGGATGCCATTTGACACATTGGTAGATAAGGGTGACAGCTACGGCTGACAAGGATGACGCCGGTTGTTTGGACAGTCGTCCACAAGGTCATCCGGTCGGACATTCGATTTATTTAATTCAGATAATTTAGATGAGTTCAAATTCGGTAGATCAATCATTTTGAAAAATATGATAGTTTTCTTTAGGTCCCTTTTGTGAAACGTGAGTTAAATAGTTTGATTTCACTTTTTAGGATTTATTTTTCAAAAAATTAATTTTTTTTTTCATTTTCTTTGTTTTCATTGAATTTTTTTAATATTTTAAGTATTTTTTTTAATTTTTAGATGCACCTAACATAAATATACTTAAAAAATATAATATTTGTGAAAAAAAATTTTAACGAAAATTCAGTACATTTTCGTATTCTTATATATTTATTGATTTTTTAAAATATTTTTTACAAATATTTTATTTTTTTAGATAAGTATATCTAAAAAAGTAAAAAAATTATTTAAAAATTTTAAAATATTTACTAAAAATAAAAAAACACAAAAACAAAAAAACTCAAATTTTAAAAAATTAAAATCTAAAAAATTGAAACTAAACTCACAAACCCTAAAATATATACGTTACTACACCGTACTGTAGTGTCACTGTCAATGAAGGACAGAAGACGAGGACAGAAGACGAGGGGCAAATCTGCAATTTGAGCTTTGAATACAGAGAGATTCATCAAGTTCTTCGCGGACGACACAGCTTTCGTGGCTGTGGTGTTAGTTTTCTTGCCAGAACCGTAAAATCCAATCAAAAGGTAAAGACCCAACTCGCTGATCTCATTACTGATTCTGAATTCTGCCATTTTCTTCCATTTCCTTTTTTTAATTAGTAACTGTGATTAAATTCTGCTTCTGGGTTTCGCTTCTCTAAGCCATGTATGTGTATATTGTATACACACATGGGTGTGTGCTTTATATGGTGGAACAATTCTGTGTTTGATTTTAATTCTGGGTTATTTCTTTGTTGAACACAGTGATATGTAGTGTGCAAGAATTATATATATATATATATATAGCCTTGGTGTGATTTGATTTGCATCATATGTTTCTATGAGAAAACTTGCCATTGTTTGTGTGTTTTGTTAAATTGGTTTACTTGCTGGCTATGTTTATCCTATGCTAACTTAGATGAATTCTTGGAATGAAGTGAACTGTCCAAAGTGAGCAAATGTTTGGGATTCGGCATTTCTGGATACTCTGGATACTGGAATAACTTGTAATTGGGAGCTAGATGTATATATACATATATACAAGTGGTAGGTGCAAATGCTATGCGATCATAATTTTAAATTTAAGTTTTTGAACAAACGAATGAGGTAAATTGATTTGCAATTTTGGGCAGTTTGATGATTGAAAAAAACCATTTAGTAGTTATTGAATGTGGCAATTATTAGATGTGAAGGGCATTCTCTCTTTTTTTTTTTTTTTTTTTTTAAAAAAAAAAAAAGTGACAATGTTCACACACAGATGTGTTTTATGAAGGTAGAATTTTTCATATTGCTATAATTGCTAGCAATGTTTCTTATGAACTGGGATATTTTTGTCTAGCATTTACTTATGATTACAAGATTTGAGATTAGGTGTTATTTGATTGGTGAAAATGTAGATACTGTATTGGAAATCTTGGTAGTGATTGGACTTCAATGTCATGACATTGGGTGACCTACCTGAATCTTTTTCTCTGTTATACTCTATCAAGGGTCATATGCTCACTTAAATTAAGTAAATTCTTATCCTTATTTATTACACTATCCCATATCAACGTCGGTCTTTCCCTCCTCCCTAGCTTTTCCATGAACCGTGATCCTATCAAACATCCTCGTTGTTGCCTCTATCGGCCTTCATTATACACAACAAAACCATTATAATTTGTTCCCTCTCAACTTATGTTCAGTTGGTGCTACTTTTACCATTTCACAGACAAATTTATATCTGATTCTACCTTTCATGGTCTTACCACACATCCACCTTAACATTCTCATCTCAGCTACATTCATTTGGCTTGCGTGTTATTTCTTAGTTTCTCAACATTTGTCTTATGATGTGTCACTGACCTTATAACTGTTCTATAATTATTTTTTTCCCAATTATGTTGGTATACATCGATCATATATTATGCCAAAAGTATTCCTCCACTCTAACCAACCTACGTTAGTGTGTGGGCTTCACCATCTCCAACCTCTCTCCATCATTATTAATAATTGAATCTAGATAATGAAATTGTTCACTCTTAAGTATCTTGGAAATGAAAGATCATAAATTATCTCCAAAGTATTAATTTCTTAACCAGCTCAACTACAAAAATTTTCATTGTTCTATTGTTTGTTGTCAAATGCTCTCATTTTTATTTTTATTTTTATTTTTGTTTTGCATAGTATGTTCTTATACTTATTTTTGTTACCTTTCTGGCTGAGCCACTTACATATTTTGTACCATATTCTTTCTTGTAGCTCGTTATCCATTTCCTAAGATTGCACTAGAAATATGGATTTGAGTTTGGATATGGATTCAAATCTAAGGATTTAAAATCTAAAATGCTGAGAATTAGTAGATGCATTTGGGATCATAGACACACACAAAGACACACAATATGTACATACATATAGATAACCGTATAGCGTTGAGCTAGGGTTGTGGATTTGTAAAAAATCATGGAGGGGGAAAGAGAGAGAGAGCTCAAGCAAATATGAACATAGCCCAAAAGTTATATATTTCTTAGGAATGAGCTTAAGCAAATCATACTATATGTTGAACATATTTGTTATTTATGTGATAATGGTCATCTTAATTGGCTTGCCTTTAAGCAATTGTTGTTTTATGGTGTGTGATTTTAAGCTCTTCCAGTGCTCACTCCTTGTTCATTAAGGTCTTCATATTGTGGTTTTATATAGAAGGTTAAAGAGTCATGGGTAAGGACTCAAAGGCAAAGGAGTTAGGAAGAAGGGAAAGGGAAAGCAGGCAGTGGAAGGAAGTGATGATACTGCTTCAAAAGGTAACGGAAAAGGTGCGCAGACAGATGGGCTTGGCACCTGCACATGTGTCAAATGTTGTTTCTTCCCCTTAATCTGTTTTTCAGGAGCTTCTATTTTATTTTAACTGCAATTTATCTAGTTTGTTGAGTCTCCTAATGTGACTCTAGGTTTTGGATTTTATTTTAGCAAGGCATATCTTATGTGAGAAGCAAGGGAAGATTAATGAAGCATACAAGAAGCTAGAAGATGTCTGACTTAGTAATGGAGATAAGGTTCCACCTGCTGAGTTTGTCAAGATGATTTTCCCATTACATTTTCCATTCTCTCAGTCTTTTTTAACACATTTAAGTTTAAAACTTTTACACTTGTTGGTCAAGGTTGTGTCAGTATCAATTTCTGGTCTTGAACTTTTTTTATTTATTTTTTAGATGGGATGGTTTTGAACTTTGAGGGGATCATTTTTGACTCGTTAATATTATTGTAATAATTTATGATCTTGATGGTGAACCTATTTTTATTGTATTTAGTTCATTTTTATTTAGGTATTCAAGGGGTTCATCATTTTCACTTAGCTATTTAATTGCTTTCAAGGCTTCTAAAATGTGCTGCATGATCTCTTCAACTTAATGTTTTTGAAGCACTACATTACAAAACCCTAGTCATTGGAAACAAATTGCATGCTCAAAGTTAACTAACGTTTCATATGTTTAGGTGGGAAAATGTTTTTCTTTTTTTTTTTTTGGCGTTTGGTATAATGAAAAATGAAAGTCAACAAAAAATATTTTTTGTGGTAAAAATAAACCTATTTGGGTGGAAAACGTTTGCACTTTTAAAGATGCAAAACATTTTCTAGACTAAAGTCTTACCAATTCCACCACACTACCACCAGCAACAGCACCACCACACTGCCACCACCGCCGCCACAACCTCCTCCATATCACCATCACCGCTCTTGCCACCACCACTGTCACCCTGCTGCCACCATCTCACCACCACTAATACAATCATTAGTACATTAGTTTCAATGACGCAAAATGTTTTTCGTTGGTAAATGTTTTCTGCTGAAACAAAAGGAGAGTAAGAAAATGGTTCAGGTGTTCTCTTTACATTCTCCTAAAGAGAATTTTTGGCCAAGATATTGTCTCAGGAAAATTTGAAGGAGCCATAAAACTGACATCTCTGTGCTGCTTTTCTGTCTTTTTCTTCCAGCTAGCAGCAGAATATTCAGAGCATCCATCAGGGAAGAAGGGTGGAGACTTGGGATGGTTTCTGCGTGGCAAGATGGCTGGCCTATTTCAGGATGTTGCCTTTAGCATGCTTGTTGGAGCTACCAGTGCACCATTTAAATCAACGTATGCAATTTTAATTCCTGATTTTTGCTCCACAAACCTGTTAACCGTGTGTTAAGCTCTATCTTATGCTGTTCATGTTTCTCAGACCGGCTAACTTTGTTATGCTATTGATGGTACAGGCATGGATACCACATTATCTTGTCTGAAGGGAGGAAGAATTGATAGAACTTGGCATTCAAAGTTGGGCTCTCTCAGATTATTAACCATGAAATCAAAGTAAGCATTGTGAAGTTATCAGTGAGACTTTGGCTTGATTATGGCATGGTTTTTAGACATTGGTTTGATAAGTAGTTTTTTTCTTTTGGGTCATTATTTGAAATGTTATAGAGTTCTGACTGCTGGATTTGGTCTTCATTGTAGTCCACTTTCTGTTAAAAATCATTTGATAATCAAAGGTTGGGCATGGAATCCACTGATCGCTAAGTTTATACAAAAATGATCAGAAGGGGAACATAACATGAAGGGGAACATAACACCTCATGCACATTCCAGAATATACTGAACACACAAGCCTTGTTTGGTTTATTTTTCGGAAAAATTTTTGGGAAAAATTTTCTACAAATAAATTTTCAAGAGTAATCAAACCAAACAAATTTTTTCAAAAAATATCTCAAAATTTTGTTTGGTTATCTACTTTCCAAAATCACTTTCTCAAACACATCAAATCAATCACTTTTTTTAAAACTCTCTCCCCAAAACAATTTTTCAAAACCATTTTTGAAAAAAGGCAAACCAAACAAGTTTTCGTACTTTTTATCTCAAAAACTACTCTACAAACACAAACCAAATACACCCACAGTCTCTCTCTCTCTCTCTCTCTCTCTCTCTATATGTGTCTTCGTCTCTCTCTCATACACATTAATTAATGAACTGTCTAACTAAAGAAGAATGTAGTTTAGGTGAAGGTACTCTATGGAGAGTTGTGCTTGTCATATGCAGAATTTTGGGGTCATCATAGGCAAAATGGTCTCCCACATGTGCAAATCATAATCACATTATTTGGTTTTCCAAGACGAGGATAAAACTCTTTTAGAGTTGTTAATTTTGGTTTGTTGAATGCTTGTTAAATAGTTTGATTTTTTTTTCCTTGGACAAATAACTGTTTACCCCTTAGATTAGACTCAAAATAAAGGACCCCATATAGTTTCATTTATGATGATAAACCTCCTTGTGATGATCACCATAGTGTGTCTCTCTTAACCAATAATATGCTCTAAATAAGATGAGAGGGGAAAAAAAAAATGAAAGTTGATCATTCATTTATGTTCATAGTAAAAAAAAGCTAATTTTTGACATATTGGTTTTCCATTGATAAGCATTGAGGATATAAAACTCAGATGCAAAATATGGAATAATGTAAATACATGTACAGAACTTTTTATATATTTTTGGTGTTCCTTGTTGGAGTATCAAGATAAATTTATAATATAATTATTTTTCAAGGCTATTTAAGACTTCCCATGTATTTTTTTTTTAAATTCAAAATGAGGGGGTATATGTCTATTAAAAAACAAGGATAGATTCTAAATATCCCATTTATTTATTTATTTTACACCTACTAATTGCATTGTAAATCTTATACCTTATGAAGAAATATTTGTATATATAGGTGTATGGAGAAATTTATTTAAAAGTTCTCAAATACAAGAGGGGAAAGTAACTCATTTTGAAAACTAAAATTACCTCGGAAAGGATTAGTTAGAAATTAGAAATCTACCAAATGTTAATGGAAGGCACATGTCGCACTTTGTAAAAGTCTTCTCCTTCTTCCCCATCGACCCCTTGAAGCTTGCTATAAAATATTTCTCATCCTATTCATTAATACATTGAATACAATACATATTACCTCATGTCTTTGGGTGTACCTGTTTTGTTCAAAATCGGAGTCCCACTCGCACTAAATTAGATGACACGTCCATTCGGTGTATTTTCTTAGGGTACTCTTCCATGTCCAAGGGGTATAGATTCTATGATCCTGTATCTCATCATTTTCATCATACTTTGGATGTTACTTTTTGTGAAGATGTTCCATACTTTGCTACTAACTCTCCTTTGCATGCTCATACACCCATTTCTTCTAGTGTTTGTCAAGTGCCAATTTTGGATGAGGTTGAGGTTGAGGTTGAGGTTGAGGTTGAGGCTGAGGATGTTTCTCTTCCTTCTCCTCAACCTTCTTCTCCTTCCCCTTCCCCATTGTAGGTATACTCTCGTCGCCCACGCTCTCAGCTGCTCCCTGCCACTGTAGACACCCCATTTTTGACCGTCCTCAAGACTTGGACGTCACCGTTTGAACACTCAGTGATCATCCATGCTTGTGTTCGTTTTGAGTTCCCGAAGGTCTCGGCTATGCGCCTTGCCTTAGGATCTCTCAACTTGACTGTTTTGTGCTTAGTTGGACCAAACACTTGTTGGTTTTTGCTTTGGAGGGAAGAGGGAGGCTTGTTGGCCATCCCCTCAACCCACCGGCCATGGCATGATGCCACCGGCCTTGTTTCCTTGACATCGGCCAAAGGTTGTGCCGGTCAGCACCTTTTGTGGTCGGTCGGCCACATTTGTTGGTTAATCGGCCATTTTTGCTGGTCGACCCCTTTCCATCTGCTTTTGGCAGATATTTTATGCCAGCTGTCACAGCTGGCATCCACAATACACCCCCTCCATACACGTGTATGAAGGGATTTGCCTCTTGTTTAGCTTGTTTCAGAAGCTTTGCAAAGTTTGAAATTCTAAAAAGAGGGAGCTTCTCCTCCCTCCTCAGAGGTTCCAGAGGTTCTGAAATTAGGATTAGAGAGTTCTATCTATCTATCTCTATAGTTCCCTCTATTTACCCATTTGTATGTGTATTTGTGGCCTAAAGTGACTTTTGTTCATATTATTGCACACAAACACCTAGCATTACACCATCCTTGGTTGCTGAGGTTCTAAGGAGTGGTTGTTAGGGTTCTTGATCTGGTTTTGGTCCAAGAAAGGTGCTAAAGTGGTGTTCTTGAAGAGGTTCTTCAAGTGTGAGAAACTATCCTCTTTATTCCCCATTTTTGTACAAGCTTTTAGCCTATCTTGCATTTTGTTTTAAGCTTCGACTATAACTGATAAAAGTTCTGATTTTGTGTTTTAGAACTTTGTTTAAGGTTGCTTTGAGGTTTGGGGTTGTTTCCCCCCTCCAAGGCCTTGTTTTAGGCCATCCATTTTGGCCATTGTTCTTAACTTTGCTTGACCTCTTTACCACTGAAATCTAGAGGATTTTTAGTGGTGGAGAGGTGGTTTTGAGGTGGAGAGGGTCATCCCCTCCCCTTGGTGTCTTTGATGCTTGCACAAATGGCTTGTGTTGTAGCTTATATGCTTAGCTTATTTTAGCTTCATTTCAGTAGGTACTAGGCTTTATTTTGCCATGTTATACCTCTGTTTCAAGTTGGTTTAGACATGCCATGCATGCTTTGTATACTTGTCTTGTAATCCCATGATTTGGCCTTAACATGCACCATGTTGTAACATGCCTTTTTAGCATGATTTTGGCTTAACCCCATGAAGCTTTTAGGCTTGTTTTTACCATGCTTAAGGTCTGTTTGGTGTTGTTTTGGTCATGCTTGCATTGTCTTGTATAGCTACCATGTAATCTAGCTTGTTAGCTTTAAGTGTCCAAGTTGCTAGCATGCTTTACTTAGACCATTTCAGGGGTTTGGCATCACTTACAATGTTATTTCAGTCCATATAGTATGCTTGAATACTTGCACTTATCACTCCTTTAATGCTTTAAAGGGTTTGTGTTTTATGCCTCATGAATATGTCATTGCGTATGCCATCGTGTCTAGGCATTTGGGATGCCATCTAAGTGGGTTTTTTGGGCTCATTTTGGCATGATTTAGAACTATTTTGGTTCACTTTGGTCATTTGCTTCATATGTCACATGACCATGGTTTGAGTCCTTGGGCTAATTTCAAGCTTTTGTGCATAACTTGCTTGCATTATTAGATTGGTTTGGCACCTTTCCTAACATGTTTTTAGAGCTTAACATGTTTGTCACATGTCCATGTTTATCCTCTTTTAAGTGTGTTTAAGAGTTGCTCTACTAAGCTTAAGAGTTAGGCCAAATTGGCATGCATGTTTGTATGTGACTTTGTCCCTTATCCTTTAGCATATTGGTCACTGTCTTAGACCTATTAGAGAGCTGTCCATCTTGGTGTAAGTCCATCCTTTGCATGTTGTTGCATGCTCACCTTGTATGTTGTTGCATACTCGGCTCATTGCATGTTCTTGCATACTTAAGTTGCATTTTACATTCTTGTTAGTTTGCATTTTTCCATGTGTTCGATATGTTATTACATACTTGAATGTTGTCATATGCCTCGCATATTTGTATGCTTGTTCACATGCTCATGTTGCATGCTTAGCTTGCATGCTTAGCTTGCATAGCATTGTGCATGCATCCCTTGCCTCTTGACCAAACATGACAGAGGTTGAGGGAGGCCTTTTTATGTGTTTTGTGCATTTCATTCTATATTGAGTTGCAGACTTGGCACCTTTGGCCATCATGCATCGAAATACGTGATTGGTGGCCCGAGGGTCGAGAACTACACTCCCTTGAGTCTTAAACATGATAGGGAGGTTGGCTGTGCAAACATTTGCTTTGAAAATGCATTGCCATGCTATGTCTATCCTCTGCTGCTGCAAAACAGGATTCTGCAGGAAGATATGGTCGACCGACCACATTCAGTGCCGGCCGACTACAAATTTCTGGCCGAGAGCCATACTTCTGGTCGATGACCACTTTTCCATGGCCGGTGACCATTCCTCTTGGCCGGTGACATCCCACGGTGCTCAAAGAGTGGCTCTGGAGCATCCTTGAGATTTTTGCAATTTCTAGAAATGCAGAGCAGTGTAAACAGAGGCAACATATGACATGGCAATGGATTTCCAAGCGGAGCCGAGCATGTGTGCATTTGACCCTCTTCCCGAGGCTATTTTATTGCTTTCTTAACTTAATTAATTTGTTTAAATTAGTTAAGCGGTTATGTAAATAATTAATTAGTTTGTTAGTTAGTTAATTTGTATTATTCTTTTGGTCCCTTCCTCAAGAGGGCGAATTGTGTAATAAGTGTGCGTGTGTGTGATGCATGTCTTCCAACCCCCACTTCTTTCTCCCTTTTACTTACATGCTTTTGATGGTTAGTATTAGGGCACGTTTTAATTAGCATCCTTATGCTGTGCATGCGTGCATTCATTCATCTGTATTGCATGCACCGGGCTCGGCGCATCATGCTAACCGCATCGTATTTCAATTCTAACTTGAATACGTGTATTAAGTTGTTGCATTTCACATGCTATCCTTAGATTAGCCGAGCCTATTCTAGCTACATTTTGCCTGCGATGCATTAGCCATCTTAACATGGACTTGGATCATACATTTGATTACTAACATGGTCTTGTTTTGGCTTGGAGTACACTGTGAGTGTTTATGCTTTAGCATCTTGCATGTATGTGAGTGTTAACATGACAGCATGCTTGCCATGAGGCTATTTGCTTATGTGATATAACTACTTGAATGCCTGTCGGTGAAGGTTGGGTTGCTTGAATTGGGACAATTCATTGAAATCCGTGTTTTAGCCTACTTGCGAGTAGTAAATCTCAAACCATTTTCCAAGCAAACGGATATGCGATGCTTTGTTCCAAATTAGGCAATCTAGTCTATACTTGTTTGCTGTGCGCATCATATAGTAATTCTAGGCTAATTAACCGGAATAAGAACGCATGTGTTTTCAAAAACAAGATATCATGTTTAGTAGTGGCCGATCTTTGATTGGGCGAGCGGGGGTGCTCATAGCTGACCTTCCCCAATCGTACCCAAGTTCCCGAGCCGAGGCAACTTTGGTGATGACGGACACGTGGCCTTAGGCAACGAGTCAGGGTTTCCTAAATTCCCTCAAAATAAATATTTAGGTGGCAACTCTGTATCTGACAAAGTAGTCCATGTTTGGCACTTCTTGCTAAAAATTTATTTTCCAAAATGATTTGCTGGATTTGGACTCTTTGGTGATTTATCAGTCTTGCATTGCACTTTGCAAGACCAGATTAAGAACCGTGACAATTTGAGTCCGAACTGTAGCATGAGGCCCATGGGGGGCGCGTCTACAGCCGCCTCTCCGATCTCTGGGTCAGGTAATTCTTCTCCATCTCCTCCACCTCCTCGCCATAACCTACCTCGGGCTCGACATCGTCTAGCTCGTTTGAGTTATTTGAGTAGTACTCATCATCCCATGTCCCAGTGTCTTTCCTATGACAGGGTTTCTGACTTTTGTTGCTCTTTCGTTGGCAAACTTGACTTCGAGTCTATTCCTCGTTCTGTGTCAGAGGCCTTTCAAAATCCAAAATGGGTAGTGGCTATTAGTCTGGCAGCCTTAGAACAAAAACATACTTGGGATCTTGAACCTTTACCTCCTGGGGAAAGCACCGTTGGTTGCCAAGTGGGTATTCACTATCAAGTATCTTGCAGATGACTTAGTTAGCCGTTACAAGGCCTGCTCAATGGCCGAAGATTTTATACAGATTCCTGGCAAGGATTTTGCCGCCACCTTTGCAGTGCCGAACTTATTTCTATGCGTCTCCTCATCTCTCTTGCAGTATCACATTCTTAGCCTCTTCATCAGCTTGACGTCAAGAATACGTTCCTTCATGGGGATCTACTTGAGACAATTTATATGGATCCTCCACTTGGTTTTTGGGCTTAGGAGGAGTGTTCGGAGAAAGTGTGTCGGTTACGTAAATCACTATATGGTCTGAAATTGTTCTACAAGCATGGTTTGGTCGCTTCAGTTTTGTTATCATCTTCATGGGTTTTGTTCAATGCTATTCAGATTATACTTGTTTCATCAAGCGTAATTCTGTGGGACAATGTATCATCTCGTTGGTTTATGTAGATGATATTATTATCACGGGTGATGACTCTATCGGCATTGGTCAAGCAAAGGAGAACTTGGGTCAAACTTTTGATATCAAAGACTTAGGAAGTCTCAAGTATTTTTGGGGGATTGAGGTTGCAAGCTCAAAACAGGGAATTTCTTTGTCTCAAAGAAAGTATACTCTTGATTTGCTTGAGGATAATAGTATGTTAGGGTGTAAACCTGTTTCTATTCCTATGGATCCTAATGTCAAGCTCATATCAGAGTTTGGGGAGTTGGTGGATGACCCTGGCATGTATCAGCGTCTTGTAGGGCATCTCATTTATGTGATCAACATTAGACATGACTTGACATTTGCGGTTAGTATTGTGAGTCAATTTATGCATGCACCTCGTATAGAGCATCTTGACGTAGTTCATCCTATTTTGAGGTATTTGAAGACTTTTCCTAGCTTAAGACTGTTTTTCACAGTTGGTCTTCAATTTGGACTTTCTTGTTTCACCGATGTTGATTATGCAGGATCTAGAACTGATCGACGTTCCACGTCTGGCTTCTGTACTTTCTATGGTGATCATCTTATATCATATAAAAGTAAGAAACAGTTGTGTCTAGGTCTTCTGCAGAGGCTGAGTATCGAGCTATGGCACAATGAACATGTGACCTTTTTTGGCTTCGCTCTATTTTGACAGAGTTAGGTTTTAATGAGACTGCTCCTTCCTCTTTGTTTTGTGATAACAAGTATGCCATTATGTTATCCTCTGATTCTGTGCTTCATGAGCATACCAAGCATATTGAGGTTGACATACATTTCATTAGAAAAAAGGTTCGGACTGGTATTGTGAGTCTATTCTTTGTTTCTTCTTCATAGCAGTTAGCAGACCTGTTTACCATATAATGATCCAGGTTTTTACCCCGACCTTTATTGTGTTTTGGACTCGGGTTCCGTGGTTGTATGTTGTTATCCTTGTCTTGTTTCCTCCCTTTAATTCTTTGAAATTGAGTTGTGGGTCGTGTTGGGTGAATTTGGAACAGGTTGGTGGGGAGTTGGTACAAATGGTTGCTGCCCAGCTTTTGGCTTCTTTGCTCAAGTGAGGCTTTTTGCGCTCGAGCGAGCCTTGGGTATTTGCTTCTTCGCTCGAGCGAGGGTTCTTGCGCTCGAGCGAGGATTGAGAGTCTTCAGGTTTTTGCTTCTTCGCTCGAGCGAGGGTTCTTGCGCTCGAGCGAGGATTGAGAGTCTTCAAGTTTCTTTCTCAGACGCAGCTTTCACTCGAGCAAGCATTCCTGTGCTAGAGCGAGCCTTGTTTTTTTGTTCCTTCGCTCGAGCAAGGCTTCTTGCGCTCAAGCGTGCGTCTGCGTTTGTGGCAGACTTGAAGCTTGGCATTGTGCGCTTGAGCGAGGCTTCTTACGCTCGAGCGAGGTACTTGTTGTGTCTGGTCGCTCAAGTGACAACTCCTTCGCTCGAGCGAGCCTCGCTTATATCAGTTTGCAGCAGTGTGATTTTATATCACTTTTTGGTTCCTTCTTCACTCAAAACCCTAGATCGGCTGCCTCTCTCTCTAAAACACCCCCTCTCTCTACAAATACTCCTTGATTTAGGGTCTTTCTACCCTACTCCCTTTGTTAAAAGGCTAGAGTATAGCGTGGGCTTTCTTTTGATCAGTTCAAGTTTGGAGCATCTTCAAGTTTCTTCTTCTTCTTTGAGCTTCTCCATTTGAGGTAGGGATGTTCTACTCTTTATTATGAGTTTTAACCTAGATGTGTGTCATCTTTGCATAAATGGTGTAGTTGGGATTTTTGGATGAAGTTAGGGTTTGGGATTGAATTTGTGAAAGAGGGGTTTCCTATTTGGGACTCCATATGTGTCTGTGAGGTCTTGAAAATGGGATTATTTGTGTATAACGGGTGGAATTTAGCCTTGGGTGTAATATTTGGGGAAGGGAAAAAAATGCCTAAATAAACTATTTTGTATAAATAATGAAATCAATGTGGAAATATGAAATTGGTTTGGAAATTATGAAATTGAGGGAAAATGTGATAAATGGTATAGTTGGATTGATAAATCACTCATTTATGGAAAACTTGATAAATTATTTGTTGATGGATTTATTTATCTGTTTAGAATTGGGCTATCGGTGGAGGATAGCTATGATTGTTGTAGAAAATGCATGAGGATTAGGAAAATTGAAACTAATCAATTGAATTATGTCATTAAATATGGCGGTTTGAGTAAACCATTGAATTTGTGTATTGATGAGTCATTGTATATGACAATGTGCTTAAATACATTGTATATGTATCACTGTATGGGAGGAGATAGGGGATGGATTCCGTTGAGAATTAAGTTGGCCGGAGTGTCCTGGGTGAAAGTCCTGAAACCTTATTTATTTGTGGGTGCCGGTTCCCTCGGGTGTGGTTCCGTTAAATGGCAAGAAATAGAAGTGTTGGATTGATGAATGTATTGAACTGTGAATCATTGAGTTGTAGTCACATTTTTGTTGTTTGAAAATCATGAATTTGGTTAATTGATTTACCCGAAATGAAAGAATGGAAAGGAATCGAGATATTGGCTATCTATATTGAATGACCTTGAAAAGAATGTGTGTTGGTTTAGAAAACTGCACATTTATTGGATGCTCATATTTTAGTTGATTCTCATATACTGTTTAGCATATTTCTACTGGGCTTTGGCTCACCCTATTTGAGAAACTATTTTTCAGGTACAAGTGACATGTCACCTCCAAGGACTTAGCTTGGGAGGTTTAGGGGCTGAAGGCTTCTTTTTTGTTATCATTTAGTATTTAAATGTAAATTCAAGCCGATGGTTTTATATGTCAAAGAGTTAGGACTCTTCTTTTGTTGAAACCAAGTAACAACTTGGAAAGATGTAAGCCCGTAGGGCACTCATTCTGTTGTTAACATTAAGGAATTACATATAATATCTTTTGTAATATAAATTCTGATGAATGAAATACAACTTTTCTATTATATTTATGATTCTTATGAATGGATGATTTATATAATATTTTGAGGGCGTTACATACCAAGTCCGTGGAACCATCTTTGCTTCAGTCATCCATTGCTAAGTTGCGTTTATCAAATATCTTCACGCCAGCTTGAGGGGGAGTGTTGAAATATAGGACACAAAATATTTTAAAATAGGACCCTTTTTATGGCCATTGTTTAGGCCTTGATTTTATATCATTTTCTATGTTATTTCCTGTATTGTACAGTTTCCTAGATATATTAGGTATTGATTTCCTAAATATATTTAGAAATAGTCATAGTGAGGTTTCTAGTAGGATACTCTTTCTCAGCCTATATATACAGGCCTTCTATTGTATTGGGATTAATTCATTGAATACAATACATATTATTCTCTCTCTCTCTCTCTCTCTCTCTCTCTCTCCTATTCTAACATATTGGTTGTGCCATTTGGATGGTCCCTGTAACGACTAGTGGGTTTCCCGTCGGGGAAGGATTTGAGCTTTGAGTCAACTGGGACACTGGGTTCGCGGCCTTGAATTTGCATAGCTCCTTTCAGTGATCCACCCTGCCACAAAGAGTGAATAGATTCATATTCGATATTATGACTTTTCTTACCTAATACAAATCTGGGACAAAGTGGTTTTCGTAGGTCCACTTTGATGCAAACCCTTGCGAAGCGTTCTCTTGTAGCCATGGTTGTGGTGAGATCAATCTTCAGTGGTTTCCCAAGTTGCTTCGCAATGGTATAGAGGACTTTCTCTTGAAAATACTCAATCGGAAGCTCCTGAAACCGAACCCAAACAGCAGTGGTGGTTTTGAAGGCTTCTGATGCCTTGAAGTCAGGCTCCCATTTACGCACCGTAAGAGAATGGTCCGTGATTACCCATGGTCCCCCTAAATAAACCATCGCACAGTCCTCCTAGGAGGAGAACTTGAATAAGAAATAGTTGTTACCCAAATCAATGACGTTGAATTCATCTTGCAGCCCCCAAAGTTTCCCAACTCTGGTACAAAGCATTTTTTATCCTATACTCTTGCCAAGCAATTTGACGATGAGTGCATTCGTCCATGGTTGTCTGATTTCTTGCAATAACTTTTTAGGGAGGCCGAATTTGGGTATTCCATTGTTCCTCTGTGATTGATTCCCATCTTGGATGTCTGTGTCTCCATCCTCATCCTCCTCTTCAGTGATAATATTGTCTGTTAAATCATCAAAGTAGAAATCTTTGCTTTTGGGTGCTGCAAGAGCTTCCTTGAAGGATTTAACCTTGGTCCCCTCAGCTGGAGCAATCATTAGCTTAGAACTTGTTGCTTGAGAAGGAGCTGGGAGATTTTGAAGAGGGAAAACTTCCGTAGTGATTTCCATCTCTACTTCCCCCATTGATTCCTTGCTTTTAATCTTCTTGGTGCTACGGATCAGAGGATCCTCTTCCTCTTGAGACTTTCCATTGGGATCTATTTCCACTGTTTCTGGTGTGCTCATTCTAGAGAGAGAATTTTTGCAAGCCTGACTTTGAATATTTGTATTAATCTAAACACTCTAATCTACTTCCTCTAAACCTACAAACACACACACACACACACACACATATCACTTGTAAATAGAACAGAGGAGAAGACGTGCGGAGATAGGGGTGGTGGTCCTCTCTTGTAAGAGCGTCTTCAATCCTTCACCTTTTCTTTCACCGAATTTAAAAGTGTTCAATCTGCACTCATTTCATCAATTGTTCATCAAATCAAGAGAAAGTAATTTTTTACCAAATTGAGAACTCATCAAATTTGAATTTGATGAAAATTTAGAAAGATAAAGCATTGGAGGTGATTTTTTTTCCCATTAAATTTGATGAAAACGAAAATTTGGAATAAGAGGAGATTTTTTATAAAGATTTTAATGAAAGAAAAGGAATAATTTCAAATTTAGAAAGATAAAGTATTGGAGGTGATTTTTTTTTTTTTCCCCATCAAATTTGATGAAAATGAAAATTTGGAATAAGAGGGGATTTTTTTTTATAAAGATTTTAATGAAAGAAAAGGAATAATTCATATCAAATCAATCTTTTTGCTTAAATTTGAAATCAAATTAGATGAAAAAATTGATGAAAGATTGTAAATGCTCTATCTGTTCGAAGAATTTTAACATCGGCAAAAATTAGATGGACAAAGATGATTAGTTATGTAATAATAAACTAACTAGAACAAAAAAAAACCACACCACACATACCTTGGGCTATGGTAGAATTCAAGAATAACAAACGTTTGGCAACATTGAATTTTAGCCTAAAAATCAAAAAGTCACAAAAAAATTCACAAAGTTAACAAATTATACTAAAAAGTTAAAGATTCTATTCTCTCAACTTTTTACACATTTTTTTTCATAAAAAGCCAAAAACTCATCCCAAACATACTAGTTTTTTTACCTCATATTTTAGACAAAAAATCAAAAAGGTACTAAAATAGTTTGTTCCCAAACGAGGCTAGTTTGATTAGCAGGATTAATAGTGAAAGGATTAATAATTTCATAAACTAGTGTAAGATTAGTTATCCAATTAAATTAGTGCGATAACCAGTTATTATGTATTCATTTTGGTTTTTTTTTCTTTCATATTTGAAATTATGATTCCCGCTCCTCTCAATAATAAAAATTTGCCAATTTTTTCAAATTGAATGTCTGCCGACATGTAATCCGATTAATAAAATTTACAATCAAACATGAAATTTTAAGTCCATAAATTAACAATCTCAATCCTATGCTATAATCTTACTAATTAAACATGCCCACAATTTAATTACTATTAGTCTCTACACTAAAAGCTTTAATCTTTACACCAACAAATATGGTGTAGATTCAAAGTCTTCTCCCTTCAATCACACTATTATGTTTGTTTTCTCCTAGTGATATGATGTCAAGCTTCTAGGAAAATTATGGGTTGTATGTGAATAGAGAGAGGGACCTTGAATCCTATTTAATAACAAGCTACTATTTTTTATTTAATTAATTAAGATTAAGTGTATGATGATTATTTTACTAATTAAGAATTGATAAATTGTAAAATTTTAGGGTTTAAATTCAAACAAATGAAAAGTTAGGATTTGATTTGTTACGGAGGTTAAATCTTGGGTTTTATTTATTTATTTTGTAACTTCTCCTATATATATAAGAGGTTACAATGTGCATCTGAAAAGGGTGCATATGGTATCTTCTTCATAACAATTCTGCAAAATTTTACAAATAACATAAACCATTAAATTTTATAAATTCTCACCACAGAAGTCCTAACTTCTCACCACAAAATACCATTAAAAAAATCAAGTCATAACTTCACCATTAATAACTTTAAGGTGCACAACATAAATTCACTATTGGTAACTTTACCACATAGTGACATAACACACTACAAATATTCATCACTTTCATCACATAAAATCGTAACTTTCTTGCGATGTGCACCTGCGCTGTTAGGGATGCATGCTCTAGATTTGTCTAGATAACAAATATAATAAATGAAGCTAACTTATGTTACGATATTTTGTTAAAAATTAGGACAGTAAGACAGACTATGTGACTTAAGCTCACTTCATGATCGACTCGTTCAAAGCTTGTTTGAGATCGGTTTGTTAAAAGTTTGTATTATTTTTATTTTTTATGCGACGTTTAAAATTTTGAGAATTTTCTCAAAATCAATTTTAAAAATAGTTCCACCCAATGCATTTTTGTGTATCATTTTAATTTTTCATAGTTTTGGGGAACAAAGAATTTTAGCCTAGACACAATATTAGTTGGACCTCACGTCCAGTGATGAAACTTAGTATAATTTTTGTGTTGTAGTTAATATATTCGTTGGCATATTTATTGGTATTCTTAGCATTATTGTTTTTAATATAAATACACATTGCTATTTTTTATTTATATTAGTACCGTCCATATAGACTAGTACAAACTTACCAACAAATGTATTTTTTTTCCCCTCTAATTTTGCAGGATTCACATTAAGCACAGAAATGATTGAGTTAGGGAAGGCAATTGTCAAGCATTATGGTGGTGTACCATTGGCAATTATGGTATTAGGAGGACTTTCGACAACAAAAAACAAACTGCTTGAGTGGAAGAAGGTGAGTAAAAACATTAGTTATGACTTAAGTAAAGGCAAAAGCCAGGGAGGAATCCCAATAACAGATATTTTAGCCTTAAGCTACCAAGACTTGCCTTACCATCTTAAGGTGTGCTTTTTGTATTTGAGCCATCTTCCCGAAGATTGTGTTATTCGTGCAAAAAAATTGATTCAAATGTTGATGGTTGAAGGCATTGTATTGGCGTCATCAATACCAACACGAGTAGGAGAAGTGGAAGAGGAAACAATATTGGATGTTGGAATGAGTTATTTGGGTGAGCTAGTCCAGAGATGCATGTTTCAAGTCCAATTAACAAGGTTCAACAAAAGGATTAAACTTTGTCGCCTCCACGTTCTCATGAGAGACTTATGCATGTTGAAGGCCAAAGAGGAGAATTTTCTCGAGATTGTTCACATTAAAGGCTTTGGTCATCAACTCACATGGGTAGACCCTGCACCGCCTTCTTCATCATCATCATTAACAACAATTCGCAGAGTTGTCGTGTACTATTTGAGTGACCGTGATGCCAACTCTATGGAAAGCGGAAATGTTATTGCCTTATCTGGACATGAAATGAAGAATCACCACCATAACCGATCATGCCAATTTTACTCTTTTGGCAATGAATTGGAAAGTTCTGGTTGGCAAAAATTAAAATTACTCTTCAAGGGCCTCACATTGATTACAGTTTTAGACCTTGAAAGGATTACTATATCTGCGAAAGGAAAAAAGTTTCCGAGAGCAATAGGAAACCTAATTTACTTGAGGTATTTAAGTATAAGAGAATCTAATACTATTACAAGTTTGTCTTCCTCTATAGGCAACTTGGGATTCCTCCAAACCCTAGATTTAAGGAGATGGAGCATCAGCAGTTTAAGAATACCTAATGTCTTGTGGAGGTTGAAACAATTGAGACCTCTGTATCTTCCTTCTCAAATCAAGTTGGCTGGTACAAATAAGTTGCAATTGGATAGTTTAAACAAATTGGAGACGCTAGCGTACTTTGATACAAAGTATTGTGATGTCAGATGCTTATCTAAATTGACAAATCTTCGAAAATTCAGTGGTCAGGTAGCCCCCAAAGACTTGGTTGTGATGTTGAAATCCCTAATCCTCAACAATTCAAACTGCCTTCTGCGATATTCGTCCTTCTGGATTAGTGGAGATTTCCAAACGTTTGAAGAACAAAGCCTTCTAAGGCAACTTTTAGGATGCCACCATCTTTGCCAATTGTCATTATGGGGGTACATGAATCTAGTTAATAAATTGCCAGATCAATTCCCTCCAAATTACGTATAGGGAATACTGAACTAGAGGAAGACCCAATGCCAACATCGGAGAAGTTGCCCAACTTAAGGAGTCTCATCTTAGTTTGGAATTCCTACATTGGGAAGGAGATGGTTTGTTCTTCTGCACCAACAACACCATCCAGCAGCAGCAGAGGTTTTCCTCAGCTCAAATCTTATTGCTTGAGTCTATTCGAAACTTGGAGGAGTGGAAGGTGGAACAAGGAGCCATGCCCTATCTCTTCCGTTTAGTAATTGTTGACTGCCCAAAATTGAACGAGATTCCAAACAGATTGAGGTTCATTACCAACCTCCATGAATTGCAGATCCAAAGGGTATCTGAAGCACTCAGAGACAGGCTTAGAGAAGGAGGAGAGGACTTCTACAAAGTCCACCACGTGCCTTCAGTCGCAATTCCCTGAGCTGTCTTCGATCTTACTACATTTACATCAAGTTGTTTGTCCCATGTTCAGTTTCTTTCCTCTCTCTTTCCTAATTTTTTTTATTTTTTATTTTTATTAAGGGTTAATTTCACTTGTATTCCCTAAACTATCAACATTTTTTTTTATTTTTTATTTCCTCTAAACCATCAATTTCGTCTATTTAGTTCCTAAATTTTTTCATTTTTAATCATGTGGTCCAATTAAAAACAATTGTACAAATCAATAACCATTAAAACCTAATTTGAGGGGGAAAAAAGATAATTTTATAATTTGAACAACTTAAATCATACAATCAAACACCTTAAGTTGGTTGTGGGTTGTAATTTATTCAAAATAGTAAGAAAAATGAGTGTTTTATTGTATGATTTAAGATGTTCAAATTCTCAAATAACATTATTTTAATCAAATTAAGTTTTAACAATTATTAATTTGTATAATTGTCTCCAATTAGACTCTACATAAACATAAATTAAAAAGTTTAGGAACTAAATAGACGAAAATGATAGTTGAATCAAGTAGAAAAAATGGTGACATTTATGACTTCAATGATCTAAAACCATGTCAAAACAAAGTTTTCAGATTATTAATGGTACTAGGTTCGAAAATTCTAACTGTTCGGCCTAGTGCTTTCCTTCGCTTCCTGAAATAGAACAAACTGACCAACACTTCATCTATGTTTTAATTTTGCAAAAGAAGTGTTAACTACCTTTCAAATTTCATGTCAAATAATAGAAAACACATACATGCATATATTTATGTCTCAAGATATGCTCTCCAATCTTATGATGTTCTGAGAGTTGCCACTATTGCAATCTCATGGCTCAATTGTGTTGGAGAAATATGATCTTATGCAACTCAGGTAACTCATTTTATGTTTGTGTATGACACATGATGCAATTCTCCCCTGTTGTTTGTGTGCAGGATAGAATTTTTTGTAGTATTGTTTATGAATCTAGTAAAATGTCTTTCTCAGAGAATGGAGAAATTAGAAAATTGGTATGTAATTTCTTGTTCTTAGATAGGATCATAACTTCTTGAAAAACATAAATAATTAATCATACTCCAATGTTTACATGGCATCCTTGCAGAGAAAATTAAGTTTTTCTTTGTTTTTTTGTTCTCCCCAGTTGTCTAAAGGCTGCAATGGATGCGCATGGAGACAACAAGACTAAAGAATATACATATTCCTTTTCAATCATCAACCTACTACTCATCAATGCATAAGATCCCGCTTGGAAACTTTATTTTATAAAAATCTTCAAAATGCAGAGAAGCTTGTGTACTGATTTTGATTTGCACAAGTTAAAACATAATTAACCAAATTTCACTTCGTGTTAACAGTAACAAATGCAGAGGCTGTAGGAGTCAAGATTTCTATCAAAAGCAGTGTCACAATTAAACTTTAAATCACCTATTCCAATGAATTTACTACAAGAAAATCCCACATTTGCCTTGCTTTAGCTTTCCAATGACTTCAGTGCAAGAAAATTCTCAAACTATCGTCAAAATGACCTGAATTCTACTGTAGTTAATCTGTTGAGCAATCCTCATTTGTAGTTTGAATATGCAAAATGAAGTTCGGCTTGCTTTGCCTATTAGTCTTGGAAACATCAAAGTGGGAAGACAATAGCTGTAGTTTAGCAGTGATGATTTGATCACTTGGTTGAGGGTTCCATATACTTCATGACAAAACCTCTGTTCAAATAGTCTACATATCTATACATTTTATTTTCAATGTCATTGTCCATTCGCCAAACTTTTGGAGATTTGAAAGAATTTAAAATCCAAAATTCAAAAGCTTACAGTGCACACTGGCTAATAGTTATTATTACTAATGTCGATACTCTATTTCAGCAAATGGAGGACAATAAGGATATCTGGGTGGTGGCAGGTCCATGTTATCTTGCACAATCTTTTTATTCATGCCAGTTATCTCTACATCCATGGAGTTTGCTCACAGCAACTTTTTTCTTAGCCTGGTTTGAAGCATTTTCCTGTATCTCTTCTTCTCATGGGGAGGCCTACTTTCCTCTTGATACCGAATGATCCTACCTGACAGCATCTAGTCAATCTACTGTTAGCATTCACATCTCAATTAAGGTCTATATGTTACCACTGGTGATCTTTTTTTTTTTTAAACTTTATTTTTGCATCAGTTTTTGTTAAGGCTTCTTCATGTAATTAGTTATTGTTTCCTATGCTTCGTGTTGTCATAACATTTTTTGCCATTGTGTTTATTAAATCTGTAACACTGCCACATTATGGGATGCTCAACAAATGTATGAATGTATGAGTAGTATTCATCATGACAAGTGTGATACCCCTATTCCGTATTATGCTAATTCATCATCCTTATGCATATGATTATGTGTTTGATACGATTTTGAGTGTCATTTACATGAATATATGTGGTTTTGAATTTCTATCTGTTCACCGTAGGAATATCTGTTTGATTATCTGCTTTGAAAATTTAATTGAAGGCCTTATCGGCCATAGAACCCGAAATTGATTGCGTCATTGTGATTGGCATAATTTTTAGAGCCTACGGTGAAGTTTAATTGAAAAATTGATTCGGACCAGATTAAATTAATTAAATTAATGAATTAGAGCCAATTATTTATTATTAATAAATAAATGCTAGTGGGATTTGTTGTAGAGGAGCACTACACCCCAATTCCTCTCCTTTATTGTATTTTGGCTGATCTTGGACTCAAGATTGGGGAGAGGGTTGGTTATAGAGAGAGAAAGGGAGAGACTTGTGTAATTTTGGCTCAAGGCTTGGGAATTTGAAGATTAAGCTCAAGCATTGGCTAGAACTTGGGTGTTTAAGGCTCCTAGGTGAGTAATCATCCCTTGAATCATGGGTTTTTGTTTGCAATTTGTAAATTCAGAGTTGAATGATGATAAAGAGCATGAATTGAGTGGATTTTTTTGTATTTGAAGTCAATAGAGGCATGCATGCAGGAAATTGCCATGAATTTCCATATTTGAACACAATGTGTATAATCCATGTTGAATCTTCTTTGAAATCCATGTATTTGGCCACCTCTTCACCAATTAAGTTGGGAATGATGAGCATCTCCCACATGCATGTACAAATCATGGGAGTGTAAGTCTTGAATGTTTGAATTTGAGCATGTTGGTGATGAGTTGAGATAATTTGGGACATGCATGTAGATAATTCAAGAAATTGAGCATCCTAATGTTGTAATTTGGTATTGGTATCATGTTAGTATGTGTATATGTGATATTTGAGCCATTGCATGCAAGAAATGTTGTTTGAAAGTCGAATTGGAGCTCAAGAACACAATCTGGAAAACCCAAAAATTTGATGTCCGCTCGAGCGGGGAAACCGCCACTCGAGCGTGAATGTCGTGCTCCCAGTATTTTCTGCAAACCATGATGCCGCTCGAGCGGGGAAGTTCACGCTCGAGCGGGAAGCTTTGTGGAATGAACTTCCGCTCGAGCGTCTAAGTTAATGCTCGAGCGTAAAAATGATGCAACCAATACTTTTGCAGGCCTTAAAGGTCCGCTCGAGCGGGAAAGTCCACACTCGAGCGAGGACCCTGTTTTTTGAAATTTTAAAAATGCATTCTGTGTTCTGTTTTCCGTTCCCTTTCACTTCTAAGCACTCTTAGGCATGCATTGAGCATTGTAAATGAGTTAAAGAGATAAGAATGAAGCCTAAAGAGGAATATGTGAATTAAAGAACGGATTGAATTATTTGTGACCCATATGTGTTATGTGATATGTAGGGTCAAGCTCCAAGGCAAATCCACAAGCCGATCACTGTGAGTAATATCTGATATCCGAAATATGTTGTTGTCCAAATTGTTTACTTCTATGTAAGTTTTATAAGTTCATTGATTTGTTTGGTGGACAATGGTTGTTATACTAAATGAATGGGCCAGAGGCCGTTTTGATAAGAATGAACGAATGGGCCGAAAGCCGTTTGACAAGAATAAATGATTGGGCTGAAGGCCGATTGACATAAATGAATGGGTCGAAGGCCGTTTTGACAAGAATAAATGATTGGGCCGAAGGCCGATTGACATGAATGATTGGGTCGAAGGTCGATTGACATAAATGGTTGGGCCAAAGGCCGTTTTGACACAAACGAAAGTTTGACATGCATGAATGGATGGGCCAGAGGCCAGTTTGACATGCATGAATGGGCCAGAGGCCAGTTTGACATGAATGAAAGTTGAATGGGCCAGAGGCCAGTTTGACATGCATGAATGGGCCAGAGGCCAGTTTGACATGAATGAAAGTTGAATGGGCCAAACGCCAGTTTGACAAATGGAAGATAAATGGGCCAAAGGCCTGTATGTTTGGAACCACAGTCACTTGACTTAAATTGTGTATATATATATGTTTGTTAAATAGAAATATGAATTGGGCCCAAGGCCGTTTGAAGCATGCTGTTCTACATACCGTTTGTATAACTCTTGTATTTAATATTATTTACTGGGCTATCGCTCACGCTCATTCATGTGTTTGTAGGTGAGCCAAGAGAAGTCCAAACCCAGCCGCAGTGAAGTCTGTATGGAACAACTAAGGTTTTGAAGAGTCAGCCCTTGCATCTCACGCACGAGACACGTCTTCGCCCTTCTGTCATTTTATGTTATTTTGTCATGTTGGCGAGGACTTTGGTGTACATCTGTATATAGCTTGTTTTGGCTGACTTAGATTTGAATGATCCTGTCTGTATAGAACTTTATGTTACTATACTTTCTGTTGTGAGTTATTAACATATGTATGTACGGAATGTTATGATGTGCATATAAGCACGACTCTATGGACAAAGTTTTAGATTTGCTTCCGTTTGGCCCCTTTCCTCTGATGAGTTTTGTTTTATTTGGTTTGAGGCCGTAGGTAATCTCGTGATTACTGGCCGGTTATGGCCTTAACCCATAAGGGCGGGTTTGGGTCATGACGGAGTGATATCAGAGCACGAGTTAATAACTCACACACTTGTC